AATTAAATCACAGAGTTAAATTAAATATATGCTGCAATGGAGCCAACTTGTCTCTAGCATAGACAAACCCCACCAAGCCCCCAAGTGCAACTCTCTGAAAGGGCAGGCTGCTCCCAGTGATGCCCACTTCCATCAGTAATTTAATCGGATTCGTACAAAATCTGTTAGAGATGATTGTCATAGGAAGAATATGGTCGGTTTTACCGTAGTTTACACAAGGAACTTCCCTCCCCACACATACCTATCTCTTCACCTCAGGGGTGACCCATGACCATAGAAAATAAAAAACACCATGTCAAGTTTAGACAACTTGATGGGAGCAGCAGTGCCCAGCCCAGCGGGGCAGCGGCCGAGTGCCCGCAGCCCCTGCCCGGCCCCGCTGCCCGCACGTGTCTGCGCCGCGGGCGGGCCGGCAGCTCCCCCGGCCTCCTCCGCGCGGGGGAACAGGACGCTGCTCCCCGGGACAGCGCAGCGAGCACCGGCGGCAGAAGTGGCTCCGGCTCAGCCTCACCAAGTCCTTGAAGCTCCGTGGCTCCTCCGCCGCCGGCTCCTGCTCCTGCTCCGGCTCCGCCGCCGACCCTTCCTCCTCTCCTGCCGCCATCTTGGCCCGTCCCCTCCGGCCGCAGCGCAGAGCACTCTGGGAGCTGTAGTTCTCCCCGGGGCACGACGGGACGTGTAGTTCCGCAGGAGGAGCGGAGCGGAGCGGAGCGGAGCGGAGCGGGAGGGCTCTCCCTCAGCTCCGAGAGGTGCCCAGGGAAAGGGGGGCTGCGGATCTCCAGCCGCCTCTCCCGGGACAGGGACACCCTGAAGGGGCTGTGGGAAAGCCTGCCCGCCTGCTCGCCCGGCGTATATCGTAATACCTTAATCATCTCCACCCCCATCCTATTTCCACTTCTAACAACCTCAAGCACGCCCCCAACACAATCACAAACACAATCAAAGTCTCCTTCTTAACCAGCTTAATCCCCATAACATCTACACCTACTCCGGAACAGAAAGCCTCACCTCCTTCTGAGAATGAAAATTCATTATAAACTTCAAAATCCCCATCAGCCTAAAAATAGACTTCTACTCCCTTACCTTCTTCCCCATTGCACTGTTCGTATCATGATCTACCCTACAATTTGCAACATGATATATAGCTTCAGACTCCTATATCACAAAATTTTTCACCTACCTACTATTCTTCCTAATCGCAGTACCCATCCTAATCATCTCCAACAACTTATTTGGCCTATTCATTGGCTGAGAAGGAGTTGGAATCATGTCCTTCCTACTAATCAGCTGATGACATGGACGAGCAGAAGCCAACACCGCTGCCCTTCAAGCCGTGCTTTACAACCAAATCGGAGACATCGGACTTATCCTCTGCATAGCATGACTGGCTTCTGCCATAGATACTTGAGAAATCCAACAACTTCCACCCCATCCCAAACTCCCACACTACCCCGAGCGGCCCAGCCTCAGGCCTGCACTCAGCACAGCACGGTTTAGGCAGTGCTTGATGCTGTTCCCAGCTCATGCCTTCTACAGCAGGCAAAACGAGCTGGCCAGGCACAAAAAGGCAAGAATATGTTAAACTTACATTCATAATGCATACAGAGAATGTGAAAAATGTGTATTTTAGGATGGGCTTTTTGCAAATATAAAAATGAATATTATATGTGTTATGTTAGAAAGTTATGCTGTGTTAATTTTCTTAAGTAGTGTGTTAAATATAGTTTTAGGTTATAACATAATGTTAAAATAGAAACTATGCTATGTAAGATACTTTTTTTAAGAGAGGACTTGCACCAAGGTAGCAGCCACAGGACACCTTAATCTTTCAGAGAAAAAGAATTTATTGCTCTCTTATCGAGTTCTTCCTGCCTCACTCTGCACTGAGACGTCAGGATTAAGAGGAAAAAGCTGACACTGACCAGACAGAATCCTTTGTTTGAACAGAATTTATGCATCATGTATGAGATGTATGAATATGCAACGGGCTATTGCTTTTAAGGGTTAATCCTCTGTTAACATGGGTCCTTTTTCGGGCTTATTTTGCCCAGAAAGAGGCACCCGAACTGTCTGTAACTCTTTGTTTTTATTGTCTCACATTGCCCTAAACCAAATTGTTCAAATTTTTATTACTTTAATTATATTACTATTTTTATAACCATTTTATTACTATTAAACTTTTAAAATTTTAAGAACAAGTGATTGGCATTTTTCACAGAGAACTAATTAAGTGCTTCAGATGTGTTGTTATGAAACATTTTGAAGCACTAGTGATGGAAAGAGAGAAAAGAGCTGTCATTGTCCCGCATTGTTTTCTGCTTATGATAATTGCTAGTGTGAATTTTTGAAGTATGAATTATGAAATTTTTTTCCCTCTGTCTCTGGGAAGTCTGTCTGGGTGTGCTCCCAGTGGAAATGCTGATACACTTCAGCATCTGTCCCTGGATTCCGAGCGTGGCATTTCCTCTGCGCCCAGAACAATGAGGAAAGTGAGAGGAAATACGAATGAACTCTCTGCGTGACAGGGAAAGAAGAGGAAACATGAAACAATTCATGGGCAGGAGTCAAAATGAAACTGCTGCATCCCACTGTGCTCAGGAGCAGTGATAAATTAAAACAAAAAAAAAAAAAAAAAACCCAAACCCAGCCTGTGTAGATGCTCCTTGTTACCATATGTTTCAAAAATTACAGCAGCCTGACCATCAGCTTGCTGCTTATCGTTGGTGCTAAAGGTTAAGCCTGGCCAGCACGTAGACATGGACCCCTGTAAGGGTCACTGGGATGCCTCAGGAAATGGAGTCAGGGATGTGACAGGATGTCACTGCTTGTGATTCTTTACTGAACTCCTTGCCCACATAATATGGTGCTGTTTTAGTGGGGAGCAGGGTGGAGCAATTCTGTTCTGGTGAAATTCCAGTCTGTGTAATTCCCTATTGTCAACAGATGTATTTGAATGAAAGTTTTCTCCTGTCCTAAACTGCTGTTGGGAGCATTCATGCATGATAAAATAAATATACAGCTTCTAAGTAGTAATTCTTTTTTCGTGCTTTTCAGCACAGGACACTGCAGATTATACTGGATTTAGAAATTGTCACTCCAGGGCTTTTAAACTTGGCTTTAAACAAATATGCTCCTAGCTCTACTGCATGTTACAGTCCTTAGCAGGGGCAGGGTGAGAGCATCCCCAGCAGATGGATTTTAGTGCAGATATAATGTCAGTTATTTCATAAGGGGTGCAAAATGAGATGAGATGGACAACGTGTACAAGCACATCACCTCCAGGGGAGCAGAGAGACACTGACACAAAAGTGCTTCATGTTCATTTATTCGAATCAGCAGGGTACTTGTTCATTTCTGGCAAACAGGCATGGGTATCAAAAGCATCTAAGTCCCACTCTGGGGAACCAGAACTTTTATTCTTCCTACAACATATTAAAACAAATGTTGATATCATAAAAAGAGACAAGAAGGACAGGGATTCAAGTTTTGTGACCTGGAGTGCTGCCCTCCCTAAGGATTTGGTCAGTGTTACAGAATTACAGAGTAGGTTTTTCTGATCATTTGGATTTGTGTCTGTGCAGGGAAGTTTCCCTTATCCACTGGGGCATGCTTGTGGAGGGAGTTACCTCTGCATTAACTCTTTGAGTCGCCTCAAGCTAGTTTCAGGGTCTCTTCCTTGTAACTCTTTCAGGTACAGACATGATCCCCATCATCACCATACTTGGGCACTTCTCAGTGGGGTGATCCCAGACACATCCTAGTGAGGTAGGGAAGTGCTACTATCCCTGTTTTGAGACAGGGAACTGAGGTACTGATGGCTCAAAATCACAAAGGGCATATTTAGCAGAACAGTCACTTGAAACAGGGTCCCAGCCCCTGCTCCTGCTGTGCAGGGGCTCTGCCACTGAATCATCCTACTCCTCTCTACCCCTCCTGTATATTAGTACCTGCATGTATTTCACTGATATGAAGCCTTCCGTGGGAAGCATTGCTAGGAGCACGTGTAGCTCTCCATGAGTGCTGCCTCCCCCATCACAGATGATCCACTGTGGGTCTCACAGGCTGCTCGACTGCATGGAGAGTGGCACTTCCACCTCTCAGGTGTGCTCCCATCACGTAGCACCAACCTACTGTTTTTGTTCTACTCTGTCTTACTACCCTTCCCTTCCTGCTGCAGGAGATATAACTGTGTCTTTCCACCAATGCCCTGAGGCAGACTCTGGTCCTAGGGCCACTCTTCTCTCTGTTTTGGCTCCTAAAATCTATTGTCACTGTTTGAACTGTGTTTCAGCTATTTTATTACTATCAGCATTCAGGTCATGCTTTCCTTTTCCTTCAGGGACTTGCCCTCCCTCACAGCAAAATAACAGGTAACTTGCTCTCACATGCTACAGACTTGCTTTTACTCTAAAAAACAACAGCTTTCCTTTGGAACAGAGGCCTCCTTTAAAAAAAAAAATATATATATATATATACACACACTCTTAAATACAATACCATAAGCTTAAAATCATTCTATGCAAATAAATAGAATACAAACATCACAGTTCTCAGTCTGGAGAGGTTTCTCCAAAACAGATATATTCTGGCCCTGCTATTTCGCCCTGGGATGGTGAACTATCCATACATGTATGTCATATCTGGAGCTGCTTCTTTCTACAGCCTTTCCAGATGTACCTTGGTAATGGGCTTGTACTCTACTGGAAATCGGCAGCTGCTGGCTTTTTTAGGGTACTCCAGCCCTTGTACCACACACAGATTCATAAGTTGTTTACAAACCAGGTTCAGTCAGCATCAGGTATTTCATCTGCCTCCTGACCTACTTCTTTTTGCTGCCTTGGGGAAGCAGAGCAGTGGAGATGGCTGGGGAAAAAGGGGTTTGCAGAATGTCCACCTCACAGCACCAGCACTGTGAACTGTAAAACAACAGGTAGCAGTGAAAATGGTCACAGCAAATAATGTAATTCCTCCAAATTCAGTTTTTATATGAGCCAAACACTGCTTCAGCTGGAGGGTCTCAGGATCTCGACAGTGGTTTTAGCACCCAAGCTGAATCTCCTTGTGCGCGGGGAAAGCTCTGTTCTGGACTCCAGAAGATCACAGACTTCATCCATTGCCCTGGTGCAGGTCTCGAGGTTGTCAGCCAGTTTCTGGATTTTGGCCTTCAGCACAGCCTGGCTTACTTTAGTGGCCTCCTTTGTGTATTCTGGCACGAGGAAGCTGTGGGAGCCGCAGAGGACCATGAAGCAGACGGAGTTGTAGAGCGACATGGACGCCCTCTTCTCTGACTGCCGCAGCGCAGGGTCGCCCGGGCCCTGCCCCCGGCGGAGGAACTCCAGGCAGCCCAGTATTTCCCTCATCTGTTTCCGACAAGTCACCGCAATTTCCTGCACCTTCCTCACCTCCCGGGAATTGCAGAGCACCAAGGAGAGGTCGGAAGTGATGCTGACGGCCCCGCCGGCCGTGGCCAGGCCCAGGCCCACGGCCGAGGCCAGCAGAGAGGCTCCGAGCGTGGCGGGGCTCAGGGACAGCCCCAGGATGGCTGTGAGGGCCCCGGCGGCCGTCAGGGTGCTCCCGCTGACGTTGGCGATCAGGGAGCTGCGGCGGAGCCGGCTGAGTTTCCGAGCTGCCCGGTGCAGGTGCGCGATTTGGCCGCGCAGCCTCCGCCTCTGCTCCAGCAGGGCGGCGTGGAAGTGCTGCGTGGGGTCTGCTGTCGGCACGGAGGCAGCACCGTCCCTCTCCATGGCTTCTGTCCAGGGAAAGAAAAGTCTGGGGTGGGATTTGTGTCAAAAAAGCCCCATGAGATATGCTCATCCTGGACCACCATTTCAGGGATGGCATCCAGCCAAATTTTTGTTGCTTCAGCCCAGCTACAAGAAAGGTTTTTCCATCTGCACACACGTGCACACTCACGTACACACACATACCCATATGCATTTAATTACTATTCCATTTTAACTTTCAGACAGCAAAACTTTAAAATGTTTTCCTTAATCCCTGCAAACACTGAAATATCCTAAGGACTGGGGTCAGAGGTGCTGTTACCATTATCTCTGTGAAGACACAAAAGGTCTTTTGAAACCCTGGGGACAGAAATTCCCCTGAGATTAGGTGACTCAGTGCCCAGAGGAGTAATGCTGCTAGAACTAATCTGTTGCCCCTCTGATGGGATTCAGAGGATCTGCAATAGAGAAGGACATCTTTCACAAAAAAGGTCAGGCTGCAAGGAGGTGAAAGCCACCATCCCAGGTTTTTGTTTAGGGGTGATTTCCTATTAAAGGAGGACAGAGAGAAGCTGCTGAGTGGAATCTATGTCTGGATTTTCCATATAGGAGGTGAGGAACTTACTAATGCCTTGGATGGGTATTGTGAACATCCTTCTTTTCTTTAAGCTTCAGCAACTCAAGCCCCCCTGCAGCATGTTTGGGTTTTTTTTTCCTATTGTAACCTGGTGTCAGTGTATGAACAAATATGGGAACTATTGTTCTGTGGTGCTTAGTCCAACCTGTGGCCATAAATACCCAGTTACAGTGGCAGGGAGGCCTCTGAACCTTGTTAATAAGAGTCATGAAGAGCACATCAGAAAAGCAGGCCCATTTTTACTGTGCACTCCCTGGCAGATGGGGAAACAGGGGAAATACAGAGTGAATAAAAAAAGGGGAAATACAGAGTGAATAAAAAAAGCTTGAAAACTGCTGGGTCTGGAAAATCTCCCCTGGCAAGATAGCAGGAGAGGCTTCACTTCTAGGAGATGAATCTACAGTGTTTCTTTGCTAGACAATCTCTGTTTGCTGTCTCTGTTCATTGCCACAGGTGCAGAAAGAAATGTTCCAATAAACATTTTCAGGTTGCTCTAGGGCTGCAAAATGCTCTACAAAGGAAGCCAGCAGCTTCAATCCTGCTTAGAGGGAACCTGAAGCAACAGAGCCAACAGGAGTGGTACAGCTGATTGTCTGGTGGAAGCAGAGTTTCTGTGCTTCACCACACTGCATTGTGCACACAGCTGTGCTGCCTCTGCACCTAGCAAGGTCCAACCATAGAGCTGAGAAGCTTTTTGGAGCCCATAATGCCCTCACAGCCAAAAGGCATCTCTGTAGCAGAAAAACCCTGTCACTAACCCAAATGAGCAAAACTATTCATTGTTGCAGGCACCTTTTTACTTCTAAATCTTCTGTACTGTGGGAACTGAAGGTGCCTGGTCCCTCATAAAGTCACACTATATAGCTAGGATCCTTGGGGCTTCATTCTGCAGAATCCTCATGTTTCAGAAGGAGAAAACTTTGTACCATAGTCTCTCCATCCAGAAGAGTATTCCTAAATAATTCTCACTGCAATCTTTCCCCCTTCTGCTGGCTTGTCCTAATCCATCTCACACAGATCCTTTAAGATGCCCCCCCATATTCTTCAGAAAATGCCCCCAGTCTCTCTTGGTGTCATTGGGTCATTTGAATCACTTAGTACATTGTGATTCTCTCAACTGGAAGCTGTATCCTATTATTTTTACACTATAATTAGAAATAAAGCTGGAAACACAAGGACTAACACTAATCTAAATGGATACCAGCATTGAAATGAACAATAAGCATATCACCAATAACTTAACAACAGATCAATATGATGATCATTAAATATGTCAATTCCTGTAGCCTCTTTAACAATTTGTTCCGAAGATTTAGTTGCTGAGAACTGTCTCAGGTAATAACAGCTACTATGACACTGAATTATTAGAACAATCATTCCAAATACAGCATAGGCCATGTAGAGATGCAAATCTTTTGACATTGATTAATGCTAGCAGAAAGGAAAAAAAACCTCCTGCTCTTAGAGAAAAATCTCCCCAGCACTAAAGGTATACATTAGTCCAAAGCCTGCAAACACTTTCCTAATAGAGACACCCAAAAAAATTACTGGCCCAAACTTACCTTCAGTTTCCAGCCACCCTCCCAGAAGACAAATTTTGATCTGTTTCTGGAGGAGACCAATTTATAGCTCCTGCAGACCAATTGCTGCGATGGGAATGCTTTGCCTCATACTGGGAGTTTGCCATTTCCTGTTCTCCCTTGTGCAGAAGGATGTGACACACTGGAAAGTGACCTGTGGGACAGTGAGCACACACCATGCTCAGGAAACGATCCCTGCGAATGAACATTGTGTGTTCACTTTTCCTGAAGTGTAGGGTGGAAAAAAAGTTTAAAAATCGCAGCCTATTCCTGGCTCTGAGCTAGTGCAGACATTCCCTGCAGGGAACAGTTGCCTTTCCTTTCCCTGAAATAGCAACTGACTTTACTCTGTGCTGGAGCTGCCAATTGTTTGATGACTGAAGTTTCCCTCCACTACACATCTAGAGCCAGGGGAGCTATCAGCCAGCCAACTACTCCATTCAAGGCCAGTGTATTTTTAAAATCCCAGCTCTTTGGGAAAATCCATAAAAGGGAAGCAGCCCCACAGCAAGATCATTGCCCTGAATTCCTATCTCTTCTCCATCTCAGTACATAAAAACATGCTGCAAAAGGAGTGATCACCCTGTGGTTTTACTCAGTTTATTAACCATAGGCACCACAATGGTTGAGAAGCAGCCCTCCTGTTTTCCTGAAGTGCCTGCCCAGCAATCAGTAATGAGAAAGAAAGGATCATTTGGAGCCCCTGTTCTGCTGCCTGCTGTTGCCTGGCAGTTGTGCCAGACAGATGTGGCCAGAGGGAAGAAGTGATGAAGGTGCTGGGGACGAACAGCCTAAGTGCCACTCCTGGCACTGCCTTCCATGCTGAACCAGGGCCAGTTTCAATCAAAGATTCTTTTGATGGGGTCAGGAAAAATAACTTTTTTGACAGCACCCAGTGGTAGTCCAAAGTGATGTGTGTCTTAATTGACACAGGGCCTGTGGTCCTGGGGACACTTCTTTTGAGCAGCTGTCCTTGAAGATGGGGCATCTGCTTTCTTGTTTGGTGGATTCTTGCTCTTCAGAACTATTTGTTGACAGGGAAGCTCTGATTTTGCCCCTGACCTATCTAATCTGAAAGCTATCTAGCTGCCACTGAATGATGAGGCTTTCCTGTTGAATTTGTGGGATGTGTAGCCACACAATCACTGGAGCTAACCTTAAAAAGGGCTGAGACTGAGAAGCAGCAGGCAGGGAGAGGAGAAGGCTAGGACTATTCATTTCAACAGCAACTTAGTTTTCAATTATGTTAAAATGGGTGTGAAATAGTATGTCAAATGTAGGGTGGACCTGCAGGAGAGGAAACATGAATGAAAAAATAAATAGCATGGAAGAGTTATTTCAACCTGTCACAGACATGAAAGGAGAAAACACCATTTTAAAGATGCCTGAATGTGCAGTTCTGGTCTGTTACAGTCTGTACGTACTGCACGTTAACAGGAAGGTGAGCTTTGACACTGCAGGAAACTGTGCTGCAGCCCTTCCCTTTGTTTTAGCAAGCATGTGCTTGAATTGAAGCCCATCTGCCTTGGCAAGGGTTTGCAGTTGATGGAGAGTTCTTTTCTCACATTCCCAAATAGAATAGGGCACTTTTTTTTTTCATGTGACTGCATCTGTGTTAGAATTTGTGCCTGCAGATATGTCCTTGTTAGGACAGCGAGTTTTGGTAAAAGTGAAATAACAAAGAAAAGGAAAAAAAGGCGTCTAGAATGAGCCTAAGATGATGAAAAAGTTTTGGATGGTCTCCTTCCTTTCCCAGTTCTCTTCTTTCACTATACTCAGCTGCAAAACATTGTCCTCTGTGGGCAAGGACCTGATGAAGGTGCAGGAGAAACAACTCATTTTTCTTAGACTATTCCCTCCCAGACTTTCATGCCCACTGACAGATCTGCACTTCACCAAGATCAGATGCTGGTCTTGGCCAAGGATGGTTTCTCACAGGAATCATCCCTGGGCTCCTCCACCATTTAAAGAGAGTGTTTCCCCATAATCCACCCCTATAATAAGGTGCATACTCAGAAAGGATACACTTCACATGAGGAGCTACAGATGTCAATATGATTTTAGAGAAGAGACATATATTATAAAAAGAAACATTATTTCCTAGGAAGTGGCCATACCACGGCATTTTGCTATTTGCTATCTGCTGACACTCACAAACATCCCTGTGGTGAGACTGCTGGTCTTCTCTCCCACTGATAATTAGAAAGACCAGCTCCAGCAAAGGTGAGCAGCTGGGAATGAGAGCTGGATGGGAGAAAAGTGTCTTCTCTCAGCACCTGCCAAGGACTGAAAGGCTTCTAGTGCCATTAGTGCACTTGCTCAGATGTAAGTACATCTGCTGGTCACTAAGTAGGTTCCAGGAGCCTGCTTGGAGTGAATCTTAGCTTATCAGGGGTCTCCAGATGTGTGGAGTAGGTCAGACCTTCACTGGGTGGTTCTGCAAGCTGGGGAGGCCTGGCCACGCTGCCTGCTGGGCACTGCTGCCTCTCTGCTGGTGACCTGCAAAGTGCTTGGGCTTGATGGTGGAAGGGGCACAGCAGGTGTTTCACAATGACCCTGGCCAAAAGTGGTACCTCTGCTCCACCCTTTCCCATCCAGCCACATCCTCTTGAAATGCCTGAGGGCACTCTGTGGGAGCAGGTGACCAGAAAAGGGAAGGAAGGATGTTTTATTGCCTCAGCTCTCTTCCTTTCAGGGGAGTTTGGCAGAAAGGACTGGTTTTTCACTCCTGGTCTCTCCAGCAGATGGGATATATGTCTGATCTGAAGCTGTTTGCAGCTACTGTGATGTTCAAATGCAAACAT